GCTGCCTGCGACGCGCTGATGAGATCCAAAAAGATCGAAATCGCGATCCGCGTCTGGCAGTTTCGACAGAATACAGACCACTTCGAATTATTTTATTCACAATGAAATTTGCAATGACAACAATACACAAACATTTACAAATACTCCAAACACACAAATACAAGTAATACAGTTTTCACATACATCAACAAATATACAAAACACACTCAACACTTCACTCAAAAATAATAATTGTTATTGTAAAAAATATGAAATCGCCACAGGTGTATGTTTGGATCGCGGCGCTGTATGGGTGCAAAACATGGACGGTGGGTGCGACTGGGAAGAAAAGGGTAGAAGCGTTCGAAATGTGGTGTTAAAGGTGAATGATGGGGATACTGTTAATTAAGAAGGTTAAGAATGAAGAGGTATTAGAAACAATAGGAGAACAGAAGGTTTATTGAAGTCAATAAGAAATGGGCGACATAGGTTGGAAGTACACCTTCCCAATCATGAAGGTCTAGTCAGAAACATATTAGAGGCAGAAACAGGAGTTAAGAGGAGTAGGGGTAGACCTAGATTGGATTACTGTTCGCAAATAGATTGCCCAGGTTAGGAAAGAGTGGAGGTACGTGTCCAACCAGTCTTAGGACTGACGGATGATGATGACATATTATATAACTTGTATGGAAAAAACAGTTTAGTCTTATCATTCCTGCTAAATTACAAATATGTTGTGTGGAATAAATATGTTTAGTGCTTAGCTTATTATAGAAGGAACTAGGGCTTTTACAACCGGATTTATTTAAGAAGAGTTTGTTATGTTTCCACTTCGTCTTTTTTCCCTAACCACCACCACCACGCATCCAATCTCACGATTCCTGAAAGGAAACTGAAGAGCTTTTTCCTTCTTACCCTCTGGTGTAACTCTATGGTACTTGTTCACCGGCATTACAAGCTTTATCATTATCGTTAGCTCTAAAATTAGTTGGACACGCACCTTCACTCTTTTCTATGGTAAGCCAGTCTTCGTATTTCCCTAAAACTAGATTCCATATCCTTAACTTTTTGTGAACAGTAATCTAATCTGGGTCCATCCTCCTAACTCCTGTTTCTCCTTCCAATACGTTTCTAACTAGCCTTTCTTGTCTGAGAAGATGTCCTACCGCCTATTCCTTATTACCTCCTTATTTCTAACCTACTCTATCTGCGGTATCCTCATTATTTGCCTGTAACGAACGCTTTTTCTTTTCTAGTGTTTACGTTTGGCATCCCTACTGAGCCGTACTCCAGACATACACCTTTAACAGTCTTTTTCGAATTTCTAAATTAACCGCTCGCGAGCATAGAAATGACTCCTTTTTGCTAAAGGCGGCTAGATCCTGCGCTATACTTTGTTTTATGTCTTCACTGCTCCTTCCATCTTGAATTATCTGACCTCCTAGATACCGAAAATCAGTGACCTCCTCTAATTTTTCGTCTCCTGTCTTGATGATACTTAATCTCTATTTCTTCTTCCTTTGCACATTCTTATTTTTCTTAAGCAGCTTGTGAAAATGAAAATCAAAATCGAGACCTTCGAATACTTGAAACACCCTGTAGGTACATCATTATAACATAGTCTACAAAAAGTACCATTCGAATAAAAAAAATCTATAAATAACTGTGAGAGTATGTTGGGTTTTAATTACATAGTTGGTTTTTACGGGCGTTATATTTGCTTAGATACAAGAATTCAGGCAGTCATTTTTACGCCACACGGATTACAAGATCGTAAACTTTATTTTTGGCTTAACGAACCTATATGTAACATAGTCACGTCCTCGTACTTTTTGGTTCGCCATATATTCTCCAACTTATCAGCAACGAAAGAGCTTAACCGATAAATCTGTTGGTTTTTTTTGCTGAGATGGTGTGTGCTAGAATAGTAACGTTTTCCTCCTTTTTCGTTATTACTCTTGGAAACTTTGGAAACTACTACTATATACGAGTTTGTTGTAATAATAATAATGCCCTGCCTGTATTATTTATTACAGTTGGCTTTCATGGTTGGATACTTAAAGAAATGAAAATAAGAAATTGCTTAGATTTTATGTACAAATAAAAAACTGCCTAGTACCTTTTAAATTGTCCGTATCTCAGAAGAAAAAGAAATCTCATACATATGATTAACTAGATTTTACCCGCGGCTTCGCTCGCCTTGGTCTTATATACGGTCAAAGATTATCGACCACTATATAAACTTAATTTTTCTTTCCCTCGGGAATAGCATTTTTTCTTCTGAATTAAAGGTACCCTATGACATTTTTTATACCCCTAACAATGTTTCTAGCAAATTTCATGACATTTTGTCACTTTTAACGACAAAGAAAATACTCAACTCAAGGCCTATATTAAAAATTCCACAACATTCGGGTATTTTAAGTTATTTTTTCGTCAAGAATTAAGAAAATTTTCATAGTTCAGCCTCACAAGAATGTTTATAACAAATGATAGCCTTATTGTCCGTTGCCATCCGTTTTTCCACTTGTCCGTTGAAGTTTCACTTCTACTATGTGTCCCAGCATATATTTCGTTTTTTCTTAATTATACGTAATTTGTTTGTACGACACTGCAAATATCATGTTGGAATACATCTGAATCGAATCGAATCGTATCGTATTAGTCGAGAACGGCCTGTTGGCGCACCAGCTGTTGCGAAGGTCACAGTAGGTACGTCACTTGACGCTTGCTGTATAGAAGGACGATAAGATAACGCGGCCGCCAACCTGATGAGTGTTCTCAATAAATGATGACTCATTAACTAAGGCTCGTTTTTTGAATAGTTCTTACAACCCGTACGTTCTGGTGCTATCACGAGATGCACTCTTTGGTGTATCCAGATGTTACCGTTCAAATAATCCGGAATACTCATAAAATATAGTATACCAATAGTTCAGGTTATATTATGATTAGAGGTTTCCCTGGTCAACATGTGTAAATTGCTGTGGACCATGAATTTATGTTAGGCTATAATGAGATAGGATTTCCTAATTGTCATGCCAAAGTGCTGTGTAGCAAAGCCGTAAGTTCGGTTATGGTGTGAGGTATCATAATTAAAATACAGAAGCTTGTACAATCGACATTGATGTTCTTATGTCCAAATCTCAACGAATTCATGTAATAATAATTTGATGACCAACTAATTAGTGGAGCCAAGTGTGCCAAGCTTGATAATTTTATAGTCAGGATCCAGAATTGCTATACAAGAATTTAACGTTTATTCTTCATTGCCGGCGTTTATTCGTTATTGATATAGTTATTTTGTTTGTTTCTTCCATAACAGTAATTGAAGTTTTCTTTTCCTTTTCAGTGAGACTGCATGACAGTATACAGGAAGAAAATTTTCATTATTTAGTGTTCGATCTGTAAGTAGTGGATCGGATAAATGTATGACGAGCTGGTATCGTAAATTTTTGATGTTATTGCAGAGTCACTGGCGGCGAATTGTTCGAAGACATCGTTGCGAGGGAATTCTACTCCGAAGCGGATGCCTCGCATTGTATACAACAGATATTGGAATCTGTAAACCATTGCCATCAAAACGGGGTTGTACATAGAGATCTAAAGGTCAGTTTATATTTATTGTTGATTGTAAAATAAAAAATCGATCAAGTGCGATTCGAACCTGTGTACCGATCATTTCATATACGAGGTCTCTTCAAAATGTATCGCGAATTTTGAATATCCGCGGGTTACCTATTGTAATGTTCGTGGGTTTAACAAAATTTACTTCTAAGACTGATAACGACAAAAACTATTTATTTACACTAATGTTGATATATCACTATTCACTGCCCTATTTATTTCACTGCTATCACTGTCAATTTATTTCTGGATTCACTTCTGCAACGGTCAATTTATTTCTTTTCCTCTCGGCGATCGTCTCTTCCTTTAAATACTCTTTTGTTTACTTTCTGAAACCCTCTAGAAACATCCGGATTAGTTTATTTACAAATACGGCGCACGTGAAGAAAGGCTCCCGCGGCTAGTCGCGCACCAACACAATCGTGCTCGCTACACTATTTTCGATTTTTTTCGGCGTTATGTTGGTACTTATCTGTTGTGCCATGTTGAATGTTCAGTTAATTTTTGACAGCTGCTTTGCTTGCACGTGTTTTGGCTCGTCATCGATTTTTGCATGTTCCTAAAAATAGATCAAAGAATCTACATCAAATTTTGAGTGAAAAACAAAATTAAGTGCGCGGACGCATTCCGAATGTTGACTGTGGCATATGGTGAACCAATCTTGGACCGAAGCAACGCTTATCGGTGGTTCAAAATGTTCTTAGAGGGCCGAGAAGATGTGAACGACGAAAAGCGAGCCTGACGCCCGAGCACGTCAACAATATGGATGAAGTAAAGAAAATAATGTTGGCCAAACGTCGAATCACCGTTAGAGAAGTTGCTGAGGACCTAAACATATCGATTGGTTCCTGCAATTCGATTTTTATCAATGATTTGGACATGAGACAGAGGGTCATAACTGGTGACGACTCATGGGTTTATGGTTATGACGTGGAAACTAAAGCTCAATCTTCCCAATGGAAGCTGCCGCACGAGCCAAGTCCGAAAAAAGCGCGCCAAGTTAGGTCGAATGTGAAGGTTTTGCTTACAGTTTTCTTCTATCGCAGGGGCATGGTGCATTGTGAGTTCTTGCCACATGGTATAGTAGAACGGTCAATAAGGAATATTACCTGCAAGTTATACGCAATTTGTGGGAGAACAAAAATTGGCTTTTGCACCATGCTAACGCCCTTGCTCACACATCGTTGCTTATGCGCGAATTTTTAGCCAAAAACAACACGCCAATAATGCCGCAGCCACCTTATTCCTCAGATCTGGTCCCTCTGATTTTTTTTTGTTCCCAAAACTGAAGAAGTCTAGCAAAAGACGACGCTACGCTACAATTGAGGAGATAAAAACGGCATCGATAGAGGAGCTGAACAAGATCACAAAAAATTTTTTGAAATGCTTCGAGGATTGGAAGAAACGTTGGCACAAGTGCATAGTATCTGGTGGGGACTACTTTGAAGGAGATAAAATACATATTTGGCCTTACGGTTTCTGGTACCTCTAATCAAATTTTTGATAGCGCCCCTCATACGAGGTTTGAAAAAATACTACGTCTGTGGTACCTTTTGATGAATCCAGTTTGTCCCATAATAACATTAGCAGAAAAAATAAATATGGAATGCAGCATTTATATAATATTAAAAACAGTTTTCTGCATATCTTTACATTTGTGCATAGAGTTTTGTTTTTTTAAAGAATCAACAGTAAAGATTCACCTTGACAGTTATTTTCGGAAGCACGTTTTGCTTTGCAGCTAACGTATTTATCAGAGCCCTAGCCAAATGGAGGGGTGCCGGGGGATGCTTCTCCCAATATCTACTCAGTTGTATTTTTCAACTTGTGCTATTAATTAGGAAATATGTTAAAAATAGATTTCTTTCATAATTTCGTGTAAAAACGCCTGTAGATAAAACTGCTTAGCAAACACGAAAAACATTCGTGTATACGGGCAGTAATAAGATTACAAAATGGCATACGGACCATAACACTAATATGCTGTTCCATGCAAGGCATTATGACATTAGCTGCTAAGTATAAAATAGCTGTTGGGAAAGCTTTTCGTCTTTGCTAGCTAATATTTACAGCGAGCTTTTCGGTGGTTTCGAACGCAAAAAAATTACTTTATTTAAAATAGTTAAAAATTCAATCAGGTCCATCGTTAAAGAGGAGAAACCTGATTCTCCAGTAATGATAAAAAGCGATGTTCTTGACCTAAAGAATATGGTGAATTTATGAACGAAATTCGATACTAACCTTTTGTGTTAGGTACTTCTTTTATTAATATCAGTATTTTAAAATTAATACTATTAATTTAGAAATTCGAAAAATATTGTTAGTTGTATTTTTGAAGCGCGGCGCTGTATGGGTGCGTAACATGAACGATGGGCATGGCGGAAGATCATGTAGTGTTACCGACGAATGATGAGGTTACCATGCATGGAGAAGGTTAGGACTGAAGAGGTATGAGAAAGAGTAGGAGAACAGAGGATTCTAGGAAAGTCAATAAAAATTAGGCGAGATAGGTTGGTAGGATACTTTCTCAGGCATAAAGGTTTAGTCGGAGACATTTTAAAGACAGAAACAGCAGTTAAGAGGAGTAGCGGTAGACCTAGATTAGATTACTATTCGCAAATAGTTAAGGACGTGGGCTGTTTTCTAGTTTTAGGGAAATGGGAAGATTAGCTCAGGATAGGGACCAACTAATTAGTGGAGCCAAGTGTGCCAAGCTAACGAGAACTGATAATTTTATAGTCAGGATCCAGAATTGCTATACAAGAATTTAACGTTTACTCTTCATTGCCGGCGTTTATTNTCTGGAAACATCCGGATTAGTTTATTTTTTTCTTTGAACTTTTTAACTGCATTCCCAGAACGCAGGTACGACACACACATTTACAAATACGGCGCACACGAAGAAAGGCGCCCGCGGCTAGTCGGCGAATCGATAAATCGTTTATGCACACGTGTGCCCGATCGCACACCAACACACTCGTGCTCGCTACAGTTTATTCGTTTTTCGAGTTTTTTCTGGCGTTATGTTGGTACTCATCTGTTGTGCCATGTCGAATGTTCAGTTAATTTTTGACGGCTGCTTTGCTTGCACGTGTTTTGGCTCGTCATCAATTTTTGCCTGTTCCCAAAAATGGATCAAAGAATCTACATCAAATTTTGAGTGAAAAACAAAATTAAGTGCCCGGACTCATTCCGAATGTTGACTGTGGTATATGGTGAAGCTATCTTGGACCCAAGTAACGTTTATCGGTGGAACAAAAAGTTCTCAGAGGACCGAGAAGATGTGAACGACCAAGAGCGTGCTGGACTCCCGAGCAAGTCAACAATTTTGATGAAGTGAAGAAAATAGTATTGGCCAAACGTCGAATCACCGTTAGAGAAGTTGCTGAGGACCTAAACATATCGATTGGTTCCTGCAATTCGATTTTTATCAATGATTTGGACATGAGACAGAGGGTCATAACTGGTGAGGACTCATGGGTTTATGGTTATGACGTGGAAACTAAAGCTCAATCTTCCCAATGGAAGCTGCCGCACGAGCCAAGTCCGAAAAAAGCGCGCCAAGTTAGGTCGAATGTGAAGGTTTTGCTTACAGTTTTCTTCTATCGCAGGGGCATGGTGCATTGTGAGTTCTTGCCACATGGTATAGTAGAACGGTCAATAAGGAATATTACCTGCAAGTTATACGCAATTTGTGGGAGAACAAAAATTGGCTTTTGCACCATTCTAACGCCCTTGCTCACACATCGTTGCTTATGCGCGAATTTTTAGCCAAAAACAACACGCCAATAATGCCGCAGCCACCTTATTCCTCAGATCTGGTCCCTCTGATTTTTTTTTGTTCCCAAAACTGAAGAAGTCTAGCAAAAGACGACGCTACGCTACAATTGAGGAGATGAAGACGGCATCGATGGAGGAGCTGAACAAGATCACAAAAAATTTTTTGAAATGCTTCGAGGATTGGAAGAAACGTTGGCACAAGTGCATAGTATCTGGTGGTGATTACTTTGAAGGAGATAAAATACATATTTGGCCTTACGGTTTCTGGTACCTCTAATCAAATTTTTGATAGCGCCCCTCATACGAGGTTTGAAAAAATACTACGTCTGTGGTACCTTTTGATGAATTCAGTTTGTCCCATAATNACTAAAGAACACACAGAGCCCTCTTTAGGAGGACGGAGTAGGTACAGTAAATATTTATAAATACAAAATTCTTATGCAGGGTATTTATGAAATGAATAGTAAGCTTGTAGGAGATGATAGGCCACTATCAGCTATTACAGATGGCATAGAGTAGTTCTTTGTTCTTTTAACGTTGTAGACTTATATGTATGTAGTCGAAGTTATTAGCAGTAAGTTAGTGGACCAATATGGTAGGTCAGTACAGAATAGTACTATTGCATTGACCAGTGTGTGAGTTTCTAGACGAATAGTTTCATGTAGGGCCACATAACAAGAGTCTGACCATACGGCTAGTAGCGGCCATTTTTCATAAGATTTTCTTCTCGAAAGTGATTAATTAATATTGTTAGTACAGTAGGAATTGATTTTTAATTTTAATGACTTGGATGCACACATACATTTGCTAGAAAAGATTATTATGTTCATCACTTTACCAGCTAACTTAACTCCTAAATATTTGAAAGAGTCTACCGTTTATACTTGTATTCTGTTTCAGCTATATATAATTATATGCGTTTAAAATTATAAATCAAATTAATTATTAACGTTCTTTAAAATACCAACTAAAGTAGAGATAGAGATTAACATTAGTGAGATTGGTCACTTTAAAAAAGCTCGGTAGTGTCTCAAATTATCCGTATAAATAAAACAGTAAAACTTAGCTGTTTAATTACAACGTACAAACAGGACAAAGAAGCGCTAATTTGTTAGGATACATTATAGATTCAGTTTGTACATCTATTTACTTGTATATCACAACTTTTCCAGTCATTCGTTTATACTTTTGGTACA